CCCACTACGGTCAGCGATGACGATGAGGTTGAAGAATTCTATGCGGAACTCTAATCAACTCTCACCATCAGGTCTACCTATACGGTAGTGATGGGCGACTTGAACGCAAAACTTGGTCGAAGGAGGAAGCCAGAGAAAAGCATACTGGCAGGTTTGGTGTAGGAGAACGAACCAACAGGGGTGATAGAATGGTAGCGATGACAGAGGCCAACAAACTGTTCTTCGACAACACCTGGTTTCGGAAGAAAGTTGAGCAAAGATCGACATGGATCACACTAAACGAAGTTGCAAAAAATGAAATCGAACATATTTTGGTGGATACACAGCACATTTTGAAGGATGTCTTCGTAGTACCTACGTTCAACACAGGAAGGGATCACCGCATGTTGCCCATAATTGCGGCTGTCGATCGAAGGGCACAGCATGCGTAGTGTCGTATCAGCGTAAAACGCCCACAGAGATCGACAAAGCAAAGATGGAGCGGCAAGTCGAAACTATCAACTGAACTATGACGGCGAGAATCGAAAAAGATCACAACTGATCATCACTGAGAAGCTCCGTCGCTGCTGAAAAAGAGCCGTACATGCTCAGCCTCGAAGTCCGGATTCGAGGGTCTCAGAGATGACAAGAGAGAAGAGAACTGCTAGAGAAAAGACTAACGTTGAAGCGGGATAAAATCAGGAATATATAATACAGACTTCCCTGCAAGTCAATCGGTAAGAAGCTGAAGCAGGATCTCGAAGATTACAATTGTCGAAGGTGAATTACGGCGGTTTAAAGAAAACAAAGCCTGAGAAAGTGCAGAAGGAAAATGCTGTTATGAAACAGCAACGGCGCTGAAAAATGAGGATGGACGTCGAATCACGATCCGAACAGTTATGAAAGAACTATGCTGAAAATTCGACACAAAACTGTTTCAGTCATGTGTCCGACGTACCAAATCCGATATTCGAACCGCCAAGAAACAAATTCTCCTGGTGCTGATGAGCGAAGTAAAAAAACGCAATCATCCAGATGAAAAGTGGATAAACTTCCGGTAACGACGGTATAAGCATTGACCTCACGAAAGCCGGTGGGCACGTACTCGCCGCTAGATTCAGCCGCTACCTGACTGAGAAGACGATCAGTAGCAGCTGGAAGGAATCGAGGGCAGTTCTGCTCCATTGTGCGAGCCACGAGAGAGAGTAAGATCCGTAGAGCAGGACACGTCACGCGTCTTGATGACAACCGATGGACCTCGCGTATTCATGAATGGTACCCGAAGGAAAGAAAACGACATCTGGGACGACCTCTGATGAGGTGGGAAAGAACGGGATACAAACTGCCAAGGGCAAAATGGCCTGGTATGATTGTGCTCGGCGTGTGGGCACTTCGAAGAATCCATACCGAAGCCCAAACAATCTTGGAATCTTGGAAACTTGATTTGACAGAAGGTTATGCTCATTCATTCAACTATTAAGAAACGTTTATGAATAGTATGAAAAAAATTTACTTGATATCTCTGGATCTGATTCGATGGAGTTGATCAATTGTTGATCCCGCATGAGTAATGCCTCTTCATCCACTGCTGCCTGAGAATCGGCACAACACAGCAGCAACTGATTAGATTTGCTGGATGTTGGCAACATGTTCATGAACAGTGCCGCAGGGCTGCCGGCACCGAACGCGTTCCTGAATTTTTCGAACAATGGATCGATATCACAGTTAAAATCTTCTGCATCAGTGGTAATGTTTGCCAAATTCTTTTCGATTGTACTTCCGACAAGTTGCTGAATAAATATACATATATAACACAATTTTTACCCTGATTTTTAAGTTGTTGCCCTACCTTTCGCGGTCTCTTCCGCTTAGTCACTGGACATTCCGGGGAAGCAGCGCCTTCACGTCGTTGTTCCTCTTTGTCTTGGTTACCTGAACAACGATATAAATGCTTTTTGACAAGAAGAGGTAAGGGATAATCATGGTACCTTTTTTCCCAGGCTCAATCCCCAATCTGCTGGCCACTCTGTATGCTTCTTGGTATACGTTGTCTACTCGATACGAGTAAATCTTCACACCGGCCCTGATCGTCGTTCCGGCAACCTCAAAATTCACTCGAGACTTCTCATTCGTCAAATCCGATATGACATCAATGAGGTGCAAACTGAATGCGTTCTTTATGTTAATTTTCTGAAACAAATGCACACGTTTAGGGACGGAAAGTTTATGACAATAATCGCAAGTTCTTACGTTTTCGGCGCTCATTTGTAGACAGGTTCGGTATATTTCTTTAATTTCGGCATTTGTATAAACCCTGGTTACAGACTTCCTCCTGAAATACCATAATCGAGGCATTAACGAAAATCAAACAGAAAAAAGGAAACATTTTAAACACGGACTATCTTTTTCTAAGTCTGCTTTTCCTTGAAGACCGTTTTCGCAACACAGCTGGCGGATAATCGTCGAACTGTTCTTGAATAAGGAATGCGTGTTGTAAGCGATAATGGAGTACACAACGATATACATACTGGATTTAAACTAAACGACCTCCGTCAGTTCTCTGGTTTTCGTATTACTTGAGCAAGAAAAATAGCTATCAAATTCGCTAAGATGAAGAATGCCCCCTCTTCTCGAATTAGTAAAAGCCAGCTATCGCCATAACGCCATTCAGGTAGCGGAGGCGACTATTTCGACAGATTATTCCATCGCTCCGGTTTTGTCTAGCCGAGCACAGCTCCACAGACTGTATCTCTGATATAATCTAGCGATCTAGGGGCTGAAGTTAGTTTCCCTAGTGAATCTCTTCTAAGACATTACCATCGCACTGCCAAACAATTCAAACTGCGACATACGCGGAAAGGAGCGGTTCGCAAGAGTAGAGCTGCTTTG